AGGAATCTGTTGATAGAGATTTTTGTCAATTTGAAGTGCACAGCACAATAAATGGTGCAAGTAAAAATCACAATCCATACCTTTTCACCTTAGAATACACAGTGGCCCAGTGATCTCAAAAGCTTCCAAATTTGGTAGAAATGCAAATGGCAGTTGAATAGATTTCCCTTTGAAACTTTTGCAAGTAACATACTTTGAGCAAATTCTCCAACAATCTGGTAATCTTCTTGCAAGATCAAAGTTTCTTGTATTTGTTGATGTTTTTCTTTCATAAGGCGAAGAACTAATGCATGGTTTTTTGGCAGTAGGATAGGAGACTTAAAGTGTTTGCCATTCAAAAATTAGCCTAGTTCTCACTCGAAAAAATTTGAAAATCATCCTTAAATGTATCCTTAATGATGGCTCTGCAGGGGGTATACCACCATGGAGGTAAGAATAAAAGGAAGGGCCAACCCCACACTATGAGTGAAGTACTGCTGGCTTTGGTGTCCAGATGCTGTGTTTTTTGTTTACACCCACAGCTTCCTTGACAGTGCTTTCATAGTATTTCCACACTCGACACTTTCATACAAATTGAAAAGCGGGACATTTCCATATAAAAGAAACATTCATTGTTGGATAGATAATAGTAATTTGTATAGTTTAGTGACATTTATGCAAAAAATTACATCTTGCTTATTTTTTTATAACTTGCAACAGCGATTTTGCGGTTTCCTTAAAACTGTACGTCTTTCAATATGCTTGTTAGAGTATTCGCTTTTATGTTCTAGAAATCAAAATGTTTTAAATAAAATACATGATTTGTCATCTACATATTATCATTTTACTTTTTTATAACTGAAAAATAATCACTTTGGGTTAACTAAAGAATGAAAAAATAAAGTCCTGTCTCTCTTTTTTGAATTTTATTTAGTACATGTTTAATTTATGACATACTATAAAATTATGAATGAAAAATCTTTGTTATTCAATGAATATACTTGAGTAGTAGTGGTCTGCTCTTTTTGAAAAGTTTCAAGACATGCAAAAAGCATCATCAATGTTACTAATCGGCCCACTTTAGTGGCCAAGCTGTAAAGCAGCTGAACATTGGTAGTTCCGCCTGGGGTTCAAGTCCTGGCGAACGGGCTGGCTTCATGGGTGTTTTCATGGTTTTTCCCCATGTGTTACGTGGATGCGAGCCATTTTTCCTTAAAAAGACCTCTACGGGGCATCTCTCCTTTTCTATGTAGTGCCTAAGGGCAAAGCGCATAATAAGTAAAAAAAAAGTTATTAATTGGTATATCACAGTATACTTCATATTGTTACCTTCTGGATTACCTCACAGTATGAAAATTTCGTGTATTTGGGAATTTAGATCAAATAGTTTTAACTGTTTTTAAAAAAGGAAGCAAAATTACTGGTATATTGTAAATTTTCTTGAAAAAAATAGTGATTGCACAGAAATTAAAGATTTGCACATGCCAAAAATGAAAAATGTTAAATATATATGGGTATTTATGCTTTTACTTGCAAAAAGCATGCATCTGCCTTTAGCAAAATATGAAATATTTATTAAATTATTTATAAATATATTTGAAAATAAAGGATTTATTCATTTGTAAACTCCTGTGAAAGCTAGTGTGAAGAAATCTAATTGTTAAACATAATATCTAAATTTATAATGACTATATATTGTCTAAAAATATAATAAACTTAGCAGTTAATTGTAAACATAAATTGAAATTCTGTTATTATAAAACTATTTAAGCAAGAATTGTTTGTACTGGAAAGCAATCTGTTTAAAGGTATTGTAAAGCAAATTCTATGAAATGCATACTTAAGGAATTAGTAAAGAAGAGTTTTTAGAATGCATATTGTTGAAATTAAGGGTAAAAAAAATCTGATAAGTATTAAAAGAATTATTTCCTTACATTTTACAATAACTCAGTTGCGAGTTTAAAGTAATATTAAAAAAAAAATCCTTTTTTTATGTGCTTTCAGAAATATTTAAAGAAAGTTAAGTACAAGGAAATCTGCACCAATGTTTAATGTATTTCACTATTAAAATAAAAGGTGCTGTAATTTGAAATGAACCAAATAGTGCATAAATTATAAATTGACTCAGGTTTTCTATTTAAAAATGTCCCAGAAGCTTAAAAACTAATCCCAGATTTGAGAAAGTATTTTAAGAAGAAGCTCTGTAAATAGAAAAAAAAATAATGCGTAATTTTAATATTAATAATACAATAAACTTTGATCTTAATTTTTGTAATCCATAACTGAATAAAGTTGAATTACCTTACATCCCCCCCTAATGTAATTATTGAAAAGTTGCAAAAATATTTCACTCAAATTAAACTGTTCTGGAAAAATTATAGCATGTAATTCTGTTCAGAATGAAATATTCTTTAAAAATGCATTCTTTTCTGATACTAACTACTCTGAAATATTGTAGAAAAAGAAAATATATATATTTGTGTGTATATTTATGACATAATTTCAAAATGTTTACATGCGATCATGCAAAACCCATTAATCTTAATGGTAAGTCACTGAATGTTTTGGTCTCCACAAAGGGATCACCACGGCTTCAAAGCAGTGAATGGGGAAAACCAGTTAGAGCCTCTCCTCTTACTTCTTACCTCAATGTATACCATAGCTGCATACATTTCACTTTTTACTCCCAATGTCCCGAAAGCTCTGAATTGCGTCTCTAACATATAAGTTGGATAGGGTCATAGTTCCTTTGCCAGCTGAGCCAAAACCAACTTTAACGAATATAGATTTCTACAAGTAATTGGTTTGTATGCGAATTTGAATTTAATCTGCTTGATAGCTTCTTTATAATTCACACCTGAAAGGGAAGATAACTATCTATGAGCTCTGTTGCTAGAGGTCCAATAAACAGTTGCCTGTAATAGGTACTGAAATTTGGTCATCATTGATATTTACATTTTCGTTGATCTTAAACTGTCCTCAAAATTATTATCAATTTCAGGTCTGCCCATTGAATTTTTGAAACTAAAACTATGGTAATTTAAAGTTCCTCGTCATTGAATTTTGCAAAGTTCCATGTGTAACTACAGGAGTGGATTCATTTTATATTCTAATTTTGTCTCTTAAATTTATCATGGTGTTCAGAGTTCGTCACAGTCCTTAAGTGTCCTCAGAAGTCCTTAGGTTTTGGGGAATAAATTTTCGGACCTTAAAAGACCTTAATTTCGGCCAAAATCGGCTGAAGATATGCAATTTTAATCATATGAAATTTGTCTGTTTTTATAACTGTCATTTGAAGTGTGAATTAGCATTTTGGAAGAATATTTTTGACGATTCAATGACATATATGGTTATCTTTTGAATGGGTGAATGTGTTCATGGCTTATAATTTGTTCCTGTTTCTAATATAAAAGGTGGGATACTTGAGTTTCGAAGTAAGAAGTGAAACATAAGCATTTCAAAATTCATTTTTTCTAATTAAAAGCTCTTAAACTACGTTTCACTTTTGGTGGTGTTGGTTAATTTCCACAGCATCCTTTAGAATTTCTGCTTCTAAAGCACTGGCAGCAATTGTAAATGACTGCCATTGAGGCTTACACTTCTGTAATATAACTTCCATCATTCTAAAATACATATGTCCAATGGTATAATTAAATAAACTATAAAACTCGCTTTATAAATTAAAATATCAAATCAATGTTTCATTTTCAAATTGTTTCATTTTCTTCATATAGCCATTCAGTCCTGTCATTGATGTCATCAGTTCACTTGTACTATAATAATTTAGTTCTTTCTTTCAATAATGTTTGTTAATTTGGAGTGTATTAATAGCCATTTTGCAATGCTGTGCAAATCTTCCAAGTTTTTTATTATTATTATTATTTATTTATTTCAGAGTTGGCAACAATCAACGTAGAACCATATTTTGGTATTTTTTAGGAAATGAAGTACTGGTATTTTTACTGCTATATGTTGAAAGAGCTAGAAATTCAAGAAAAAAATGAAATATTTCCTTTCCAATAAACAATAGTATGCTTAAAAAATGCATTCATTTTAATTAAATATCTTGATTTTCTGTTAATGTTGTTAAAACTGCCAAGCTATCTAAACTGCCAAGTAGTCTAAAGAAAGTGAAAGATTACTGTGATCTATAAGAGATTATTATTTGGAGAGATAAAACATCATGATACGTAAATAGTATCTAGTTCTGTTTATAGTCAACAGAAAACTGTATTATGGAATAAATAATGTGTTCTGATGAGCCAATAGATGCTGGCACACTGTTTTACTGCAAGTTTAATGAAATGCTAACCTCTGGCATGTAGGCCTTTCTCATTAAACCTTTTATGTGCAGCTTGTCGTGATTTTGATATTCCAGTAGTTGCTGCCAGCTCAGACCTTGGTCGTCTTAAAATTAGTTTGCTGCAGTGCACGATTGAAGATAAAAGCTTATCTCAAGGAGGTGGTTTACATATACATCTGTGCCCAATTTTCTTGTAAACACTTTGCCTCTAATTTGTTTCAAAAGTGCAGAGCTGTTTTAAAGCATTCATTTCTGTTTTCATTTTCCTATTTATCTGTCCTGCAACTAAATAGCTGACAGCTTTCTACCTTAAAAAAATATTTGAAATGATACTTCAGTTCCATGAATAGTTGTTTTTACTCATTGCGAAACGAAATCAAACCTTGAATTGCAGAAGTTGACTGGGATGCATATTTTGATCTCATTGTTTGCCATATTTTTAATTGACGTAATTCCTCTATCTGTACTTTGTTGTCACATTGAGCAAACTGTACTGTATACTGATAAATTAAGTGTGCCTTTTCTTTTTCTTCCAGAAAAAAAAATTCATAATCAAAAATTAATTCAGAAATAAATCAGATTGATTACTTTGTAAAATAATCTTTTTAAAGATAATTTTGAACATCAATTCATATATTACTATGTTTTAAATAACTAATCAAGTTTGAAGTGGAAATTGAATTTTGAAGCTTAGTGTATGTATTTTTCCAATTTGCAGGTCAAATGCTTGATACTTTAGCACGAAAATCATTATGGGAAGTAGGTCTTAATTACATGCATAAAACTGGACATGGTGTTGGTGCCTATCTAACAGTTCATGAAGGTATGTTAATGCGGTATTGTTACTGTAGTAATTCATTCATATAAAACATTATTTCTTTTTTACACAGTAGAAAATAGACTCAGTTCTTGTATTTTAATTTGATTTATAAGAAGAAGCTTATGGTACATAAAGATTTTTGTATTAATTACAATAAAAGGATAATTTGTGACTCAGAGCACTTTTTTAAAGACTGAGCATATTTTATTATTTTATTTTTTTCTGCTAAATATGCTTGTGAAAAGAACAACATATTTTATTTTGGGAATTTAATATGTACAGCTATTTTCTAGGTGTCATCCTTGCATAATTTAAAATACTTTTATATACGTATTCTAAAGTGTTAAACAGAATTCTAGATGTGGTGTTTGGTACATAAGTTACTTAGTAATAGAAGACTGTGTCATATTTTGTATTGTGGATTTGAAGTAGCACTTGATGTCAAAGCAGCTCTTAAAAATGTATATTAATAGTTCAAATAATGAAATTTTGATATTTGATGGAATTTGCGAATTTCAGTTTTGTTAATGGTTTGAAAATTTCAGCACATAAGTTCTCCCTTAAAACTGAACAAACTGACATTTCGTTATCAAAACTGCTGTAAATGTGGATTGTTTAAAAACTATGTCTTGAGAAATCTGCTGAATACAAATATTATTTCACTGAGTCAAATTATGTACATATATGTAGTAAAAGCAAATTGTGGATCATGGATTTCACTGATTTCACTTGTGATGAAAATTCATAATCTGGTCATCTTACAAATGTGAAATTTAGTGTTTATTTATCATCTCAGAAATATTGGATAACTTTCAGAAGTGGTCTTAGATGGGTCATCATAGGTATGTGTATTTTATTTTTATTTTTTTTTTCATTGATACACAGCATGCTCTGAAAAATTTAACGAAAATCACATTAAGAGGGAAAATCAGAATGATTGTGCCATAATGCATAAACAATTTTTTAGTCTGATGGACGTCATAAAACTCAAGTAATTAATTAAAAACATTTTTCTCCAGAAAAGCAAATTAGGTCAAACAAAAGAGATACTTCTTAGTTGGCATATGGTTAATCATTTTGAAATGTTCCGATACTGCCCTTTGGAATGATTGGTATAATGGCACTTTGGAATGACTGGTATAATATTTCATGCTTGTACAAATGAGAATATATTGACTGGATTTACTTTTTGAATTATTGTATGTGTCTCTTGAAAATATATACTCCCAAAAAGCATGATAGGTTTCTAATATGATGGTAGTGCCAAGATAATAAAATTGCGATACTTACAGCTAATCAGGAAATAGTTTGTCATAAAATGACTTCACTAGATTCCTGTGCATACTATCTAATGATGCCTTACTTGGAATTAGCTTTTTATTCCATTTCCCTCTCAGTAGCTTAAACTTGGAGTTACTGTATCGGTATATTTTACTTCAGATTCTTTCACATTTTAGAAAAACTCTTCCATAAAGATGAACTAAAATATAGCACTAAAAATAAAATTAATTTCATGGATAGGAGTCATGAGAACATTTAAATTGTGTACCATTACTGCTGATAGTTAACAGTAAATCTAAGATGGTTATAGGAACAGGTAAAAAGCTAGCTAGTCCTTCTTTGCCTTAAGCTGTGCAACTTCCTTCTTTGCCTTAACCCTCTGAACGGCAAGGCCGTATAATATTTTTTGTGATATCTGTAAGAATGTATATATATAAGTGCATATTGAAATATGTCAAAGAAATTAAGGCAATATATTAAAAAAATATCCAGGTATGAAATACCAGAAGAGTTTTTAAAAACCCTGGCCGCTCAGAGGGTTAAGCTGATGCAACTCAAGTTCCTCCTATCTGCATGAAAACAATTATGCTCAAATGGCACATGACTTCAGAAGAGGTAAAATTATGTTTCTTTTCATGCTCTTGAAGGTTAGGTAAAAATATACTTGACAGTTTTCATGCCTAAAATGTTAGAAGATTAGCTTAGTCCATTGATAGCAGGGCACTGGTAAAAGTATGATAATTTGGCATTCAACTAACCAGAATGTTCAGATTAATAAAATATTTTTAAATTTATCAACCTCTGGCTCCTTTTCCCTGAAAAAAAACTGAGCAAACCCATCATACAGCACATTTAGAACTGCAACTCGGTGCAAAAATAACTTGCCAAATATAAGAAGGAAATGATCTAAATATGGTAATTTCACTTCCTATTCGCTAAAACTCACCATCCTCCAGAAATGCTCTTTATATAGTTCTGAGGCTTTGCATGCTTGCATTTAAAAATGAAAAATGGTGTAGTGGAATTCTGCTGAAAACCTTTTGGTGATGCTGAAGATCATTGAGTACTGAAGTTTGTATCACTTAAAACACTGTATACACTATGATAGACACTGACTATGATGGAAAATTCATATCACTGAGCAGACATAAGAGGACTCACTATCATGTATTGTTGAAATACTGTGCATTAAAAATATTAACCATCTAAAGCAAACATAAACCTAGAACAGATTATTCATTAAGGTATATTTATGGAAAGGATTTAAAAAAAAAAAAAAAAAAAAAAAAAAAAAACATTTGTGACCTTAAAAAGAGCTTTTAATTTTTGATAAGACTGTTAAGCTACATGATGCATAATCCTCCTTCCCTTAAATTAAAATTGTCATTAATCACAATTAATAATCAAACACTTTATCTAGGAAGGCATTCATTGTCTTAATGAATTGGAGAAATGCCATGATTTGCTACTGAGAGTGAGGGGGAAAATCGAAATCCAGAAAAATTGATTTAAAAAAAATTATATATAAGATATATTGGTTTAATATATATAGCTGTACTCTTCCATGAAATTAAATATATCCATTTTTACCATAGATTGTCATAAAATGTGTAATTTAATTCTTGAATTGGTCTCAATTGTGTGTGACTTTGCACAATAATAATTGTCACTTTTCATAATGGCTTATTATTACTAAAATTTCTGAATCCTGAAATCTACTTTCCAACTGAAGAATTTCATGATAAATATTTAATGACTTCTGTTCATACTAATTCTTAATTAATTCTGAAAATAGTTTAAATTACAAATGTGAAATGTTGTGAGAACTTTTATAATTCTGTAAAACACACACAGCTTTAGTTGGCAAGAACAGCTTTAGTTGACCAGTTTTTTCTCCCCGTTCATAATAAGGATTATTCTATTCTCATAATATTCCAGTAGAAATTAAGAAATTTTATCAATTGTTGTATGACACACCTTTTCATGTACTGTATTCTTCTGAACTGGCATGAACTGATTATCATTTCTGTGAATAATTTTGCATTTCAAATCTGAGGCAGCAGTTAAAAGTACATTTGAAGATTGTTTCCATAACATGAAATTTATTATGTAAATATGCTGTTATTAAAAGTTTGGTCAAGCGGTATTAATGCCATTCCATTTACACTGCAACAGAGATTTTCTTTATGTATTGTCTTTCTATATTAAGAAATTAATGTTTTTAATATTAACATTTATAGGGCCAACTGAAATTGATTGGAAGCCTAATCCTGATGATCCAGGGTTACAGGAAGGGATGATTTTATCTAATGGTATGCAGTATGCTTAATTTTCCTTAAAATATATTTTGTTCATATTTTACTATTGGTGCTTGTGAGGCTATGAGAAACAAATTCTGTTTCATTGTATCTGTGCTAAGAAGTGTCTCTTATCTGCTGATATATGAGTTAAAAAATGCGTGAGGTACGTGTGGGTAACACATGCTTAGGAGAGTATCTATAACTAGAAAAACAGCAATCCTAAGTAAGATACACATTTAGCAATTAGTAATCAAATTTAATGAGAAAAAATAACATAGTTGCCTGAGTTGGATGCATTCTAGTGGCTTATGAAAGACAGCAAACGGTCCAACACAGACACGAGTACCGAGGTTCATATATCCCAGTGTAGCACAGACTGCCAAGAAAAACTCATCCTTCTGCATCAGCTTGTAAGGTTGCGATACAGGTTTAGACTGTCTTTTGCCAACTGGCGGTTTTCTGTACCGTTTTCAGTTTGTATAGCCTGTTTGGCAAAGCTGCTGCATACTCCCTCCGCAGTGTCAACAAAATGTGATGTACCGATGCAGGTGTCAAATTATTCATCCAGAACAGGTGTTACAAATGTCTGAAGGTTTTTCACACTCTGGGAAACAACTTGAGAAGAAGCAATGGTTATAAAAGCAGGTTTCATTGCATCTGTGGAAATTGTTTCCTTAATCCATTTTATTTCGAGATCAAATGTTTTATTTATTCTTGCTAGCACATTAAATGGTCCATTGTAAGGAGCTTTGAGTGGCTTTCTAACTCCGTGTTGAACAAACACATACATGGACTCGTTAAAATGAAGGACCAAAACAGGTTTGCTCTCCGTGGCTGGAAGTCATGGTCAGGTGGACACTGGCAAAGTAGGATTTTACATCCTCCACAAACTGTTTGGGGAATGCAGGTATAGGTCTTGGATTAAAAAATTCTCCTGGGAAGACAAATAGTTTTTCTGTACACAAGTTCAGAAATGGTTGCCCCAGTGTTTTTCTTGAAAGTGGAGCGAACACCCATCAGGAGTGATGGAAGGACCGCCACCCAGTGACTGGTATCATATGCTTTTAAGGCAGCTTTCAATGGATGGTGAAACTCCTCAATAACTCCATTTGCCTATGGCTGATATGGAGATGTCCTGATCCTCTTAATTCACAACTCGAAGCTCAAAGCCTTTTTACTACTTGAAAAAACTCAAGTTGTGAAAGGCTCAAAGCCTTTTCTGTGAAAAGCTGCTTTCAAACTGTCGCCGTTGGTCAGTAGCAATAACAGCCGGGCAACCAAATCGAGTTATCCAATGGTTGTAGAAAGCCTGTGCTACTGTACGTGCAGTAATGTCTGGTATGGCTACCACTTAGTAAATCTAGCTATCATAGTTAAACAGTAATAATTATTCTGGGAAGGAGATAGCAGACCAACAAGGTCAAGGTGGACATGAACAAATCTCTATGTTTGGTCTAAAAACTTCATTAACGGGATTCTAGAATGTCTGCTTACTTTTGCTTTCTGCCATGGAATGCACTGTTATGCCCAGTCTGTGCAATCCTTATGGATGGAAGACGAAACAAACCGAGAACATGTTAACTTTGTTGATACATGAATGTCGGGGTGAGCCAAATTCTGCAATGTTGCAAAAACATTCTCATGGAATGACGGGGGTGGGGTTGCAAGAGCGAGCAGCACCTGCTGAGAAATCGCAATATATTGGTAAGCTGCAATTCAGTAAGGTAATTTTCTTGAGTTATAAAACTTTTGAATGTTTAAGGAAAGTTTGCAATTCTGGATTGATTTGTTGCATTTTAGCAATTTCCTCATAGTCGATAAGGTTAGGATGCTTATCACTTCCATGCGCAAAAGTGTGTCAGCAGCGATATTCTCTGATCCTTTTAGATGGTGAATTGGGAGATAAAGTCTGCCTAGCCTGACGAGGAGGGCACTTATCCAAATGCTGTCAAAATGCATACATAAGCAGCTTGTGATCTGTGATTAAAAAAAAAATTCCGAGTTTCGAACATATGTTTTAAATGCCCTAATACCAGCATAAGTTGCCAAAAGCTCATGATCATAAGCGCTACAGTTCATTTCTGTTTGCAAAAGCTTTCATGAGAAAAATGTGAGAGGCTGTAAATTTCAATCAACTAATTGTGATAACATTCCACCAACCGCAAAGTCTGACCCGTCGACCTGTAAAACCAACTGGCCATCTTTTTTTGGATGCGCTAAAAGAATTGCATTGGTGATTAACTGTTTACAGTTTTGAAATAAATTCTGTGAAATTCAGCGTTGTCTTATCATTTTTCTTAGCCCCTTTAAAATAGGAAGTTAAATGTATCTGATTCTGGGCTATGTTAGGTAAAAATTAACGATTAAAATTTGAAAATCTCGGCAAATCTTTTATCATTTTAGGGAGTGGGTAGTTAAATATCGGTTCAGTTTTGTTGGGCAGAGGCTTGGTACCGTTTTTATTGACAAAATGCCTTTAAGAAAGATATTTAGGGAATGCGGAAAACACATTTCACAGCGTTAATTGTCAGTCCGTATGGAGTTAATTTTTCAAAAACAGTACATAAGTGAAATTGATGATCATCTTCTGTATCACTAAATATCAAGATATCATCTAAGTAGACATAGGCAAATTTTAGGTCCCCAAGAATTTTGTTCATAAACCTTTGAAAGGTTTGAGCTTCTCTGCACTGTCCGAAATTTAAAAAGACCAAATGGAGTGCCAAACTGCAGTGTTTGGTATATGGTCTTGATGGACCTCTATATGATGATATGCTCAGATGATTTTGATTTTTTTTTAAATTTTCTTTCCGCTAAGCATATTATCTTGTAAATATGGGATAGGATATCTGTTGGGTTCGGTGCATGCGTTTAATTTTCTCTAGTCTTCTACCAGCCATATGTTGCCCAAGCTTTTAGAAACAACATGAAGAGTTGATGGCCATGCCAATTTTGATGGTCTACAAATACCTTAATCCATCATAAATTGGAAATTCTTTTTTTTACTGCTTCATATAACTTAGGGCTTAACCTACGCGGTTTACTATGCATACGAGGACTGCTTGTTATGAAGTAACGAACCGTGCTATGCTTTACTCTGCCCAAATCAGATTTTAGTTTCAATAAGTCCGGAAAGTCTTTAAAGATTCTGTCATATGGGGAATCACCTGAGACTAGCTTTACCGAAAAATAACTTTCAGAATTGGAAAGAGAACCAATTCGAGTTAATTTTGTAGTATTACCAATGAGCCTACCTTGTTTTAAATCGATTAAAAGAACAAAATGTCTTAAAAAAATTGGCTCCTATTATAGGTACTGGCACATTGGCGATGAAAAACTTCTAAGAAAAGTTTCGTCTGAGACCTATGTAAGAATTCTAGAATTATTCGCAGAAAATAATTATTGTGAATCCGGATGAGTTTTCTTAAATTTAGAAGTCTGTGTGGACGCAGGAGACATCTGAGCCGGAATCGATAAAAAATGTTAAATTTAGTCTATTATCATAAACATGTAAACAACATGAATGCGCGACTGTCGACAAGTTTTGATCGACAGCCGCTGCTACTGGTTTTCCTGGTCTGTAATATTCTGAGGAAAAGAACCAGGTGGTCGGCATTTTCGTCCATTATTACCAAATCACAAATGTAAATGATAATTGTTAACATGCTTGCTAGAATGACCACATAAAAAACTACGTGGTTTATTATGTGGATCTCGGGGGAATTTATTTCTCATTTTTTCGCGAGAGAGTCACTGGGCTTGTTTCCTTAGAGCAGCGATTTTGCTCCTTAAAGCCTTAAGATCTCTGACGGGGAGGAAGAATCATTCAGATTGCTGGGTGAATTCGCCGCAGCTGCCTGGACCACAAACATGTTATTGTTTGTTGGCCTGTGCAGTTCAGATATCTTATCAGCCATTTTTGCCAAAATATCTGAGGATTCAGAACTAATTGACAAAATGGCATGCACCCTGAAAGGTAACCTTTGCAGCCATGATGTTTTTAAAAATTTGTCAGTTTTACAATTTTCTCAATATGTGAGATGGCTTGTCATCTCCTAAATGCAGTTCAGAAATAAGTTTGCGTATTTGTTCATTTTCTGAATCCAAGAATTCCGCTATTAACCTGGCTTTTAGGGCATTATACTTTTCCTTCGTGTGGAGGTTAAACAAAATATCTGATACCGCAGAAAGAGTTTTGGGATCTAAAAAAGAAATCAGATGCTTATATTTCATAATATGATTACTTATCTTCGCTACAGCAAAGTTGCTTTTAACTTGAATAAACCAATTATTCTTCCATAAAGGGGGAATTTTGACCGCGACGTGAGATTTGTGGCTCTGGTGCTGCCGCGTTAGTTTTGTCGTTCGATTGGCCTTACCATCCTAGCATGGTTAACAGTTATAAATATATTCTAAATTGTTTACTAAATGATTTGCACTAGGATTTAACTTATGTATCATAATCAAAATGGCAACATTCAATATCTCAATAAAATTTTGAGCACAAATGTTACAGAAAGATCAGTTTTGAACAGTGAATCATTAAGTTTAAATTAAAACTATAATTTTACAGCAAAATGCATCACAAAAATGTATTAAGACCAATCACAGATAGAAAAAAAAATTTTCTTGACCACATACCCGTAAATCCTCCTTAACAGTGTGATAATCCACATGGTATTATTTATGATAATATAGGAAATTAAAGGAAATAAATAGGATGTAGCATTAATCACTTATAAAAAGGAGCATTCTCATCAAAATAAGGCATGGCATTAGCTTTTTCATAAAGATTGAGATATATAGCCATTAGAAATTGAAATAGAAGGAGCAAGAGACAGGATCACCAGTGAGGTATGCTTGGGTAACAGGCGCCTGAGAAAGTATCGATAGCATTAACTAGAAAAACAGCAATCTTAATTAAGATAGACATATAGCAATTAATAATCAAATTTTAATGCGAATAAATAACATAGTTGCTATAGTCTGACACATTATAATGGTTTATAAAAGACAGTGAACGGCCCAACACAGACACTGGTACTGAGGTTTGCATATCCTGGTGAAGCACAGACTGCCGGGAGAGAAACTTATCTCTCTCCATCTGCCTGTAATGTTGTAACAGGTTGCCTGTATGGTTGCCATATGGCAAACAATACACCCATACAGGTTTAAACTGGTTTTCACCAGTTGGCAGTTTTCTGTACCGTTTTCAATTCATGTTGCCTATTTGGCAATGCCGCTGCCTGCATGCTCATTTATCTGCTGGTTTTATATGAAATTTCTATGAATGTTTATATGAATGTTTTTAATACTGCAGATGATAATTAAAGCTTATTCCAATTTGGTGCCAGTTGCGTTTGTATTTTAAAATTAATGTTTAACCCATCCAGGACCAGCGTCGGGTATACATGATTTAAAAACGAAACGATTTTTTATTTTTAAAAATTTTTAAATGCCAGTACATGGTGCTAAATGGTAATGGTTTTCATATTGGTTAAGTCATGTGACTTTTGATCTTCATGTATGAGCATCAGTTCCTGTTCTGTGCTTTTCGTTTTGATAGGTTTACTATTAGTGTAAACAAATTTGAATCCCATCACTTTAAGTTAAAGGGACTCCAATGTGTTTGTTTATTTTGTTAGAGATTTCTTTTTTGTTTGTTTGTTGTTTTCATTTTTATTCTTTGCATTTTTTGATATTAGAATGTGGGGAAGTGCTACCAGCTCAATGTTTTCTTTCTTTCTTTCTTTCCCTCCATTTTTTCTTTTTGTTAGGAGAATGTGGGAAAACGCATCTAGCTGATTATAACAGGTGTAACATCACCGAACTTCCGTGATGGAAAAACTCAGACCAGTTTGCCTTTTATATATTTATTTTAAAACCTAACATAGACTTTCTTGGTTAATTAAAAAGTAACCTTACATCATTATTAGAGAAGGGTAAAGATATAAGCTTTCCCCGATGCGTGATGCATCTTACTTCTCAGCAAAAAAGCCATCATTGTCCTGTGTTTATTCTCGTTTTGAATTATTCCATACACAGCAGAATCATTAAATTGGGTTTAATTACCTACAGGTAATTATTGCTTAATTTTCCTTTACATTTCATATTTGTAATTTGTTTTCATGCTTAGAGTTATAATTTTAGTATTTCACATGTTTCATTTATTTCTATTAATGTGATATTCTTTATATTAATACATATTAATAATTAATAAAAAATTTGAAGTCATTATATTGAAATGTTGATTTTATATGTTTTTTTTATTAAAGTAGGCTAACTGCTGAAAATTTATGGTCCAGTGGCAACATTCCATGTCGGGGGGTTTTGTTCCCATGCCTTTAATTCACAGAGAGAATCAAAATCTTACAAAAATTTGTGAACACCCTTTTCCCACTGACCATTTTTGAAAAAAAGAAAAAGAAAACTGTAACCGGACTGTGTGAATTAGCACCAGTAATGGATAAGCGTGGCTTTACAATACATTCATAAGATCTTCGCCTTGGTTTTACATAACCTTAGAAAGCCAGTTTACCTGTTGTTTATCTGAGTGAAAGACTGTTCTGCTTCTTCCATACTTACACATCCATGACTGGCACAATATATGTTTATACATTGTACTTGTAACTTGTATTTAGCCCACCAGGCGCTCAGCGATAAAAAATGCTGAACACTGCCAGTTCTTATCTGGGTTCATTTCCAGGTGGACAGCCTGGCTGCATGGACATTTTCATGGTTTATCCCCCATGTGCTACGTGTATCCGAGCCAGGTACCCTAGAAAGTCCTCCACAAAGGCATTCCTCCCCTTTGCCAGATAGCCCTAGTATGCTTTGCTATAATCTACCAAACCAAATCAAATGCAACTTGCATCTATTGATTTAGTAATTAAGTAAAATGTGATCTATTCTTTGAAACCTCCAGTAGAATTATTGCCATGAGTTTCATGAGTTCTCCACCAACTTTCATCGTCACAAAGAAAATACACAAGTAGTGAAAACTTCAGAATGTTCTAGGCTTATAAATTCCTTCCTCACATTGCAAGCCAGAAACAATTGGGGGATCAGTTAAGTTCACTCCCTCATCAATGACTAAATGATTAACACTTCTAAATGTTGGCAATATGACTGGCAAATGGACTAGCTGTATATTTGGTTTTTGCCCTCCCTGTTATCAAACTTAAGTCTGAGTCAGCTTTTTTTTAAAATGCTCCACAAAGGCGGGCAGCCCTCATGGGTTATAGCCAAAAACGTTTCAGACAAAAATGTCGCGCAGAAAACTGCGCAAGGTGAAAATGCCAGGGAAGAAAATAAAGCAATGAGAAAACATCGCAGTTCTAAAACATGATACAAAATATTGTAGTCAAGAATAAAATAGTTCAAAAACTTGTCATGGGAAATATTGTGGTAAAAAAATAAAGTATCTACAAATCGTCGCATGGCGATAACATGGCAAACATGTGTTTAACATTTATAAATGGGTATTCGCATAATGATTTGTGACTGCAAGATGAAAAGAAGGATAATTCTTACTTTCATGTTTTTATTAACTAATAAATTTTTAGAAAACAAAACAACAAATTTAAATAATAATTCCATTATTAACTTAGCAATTTTTTATACATAAGGGCATGCAGTTACTTTTCTTCCTTGTTTAATTATTTTTAGATTATACTTTTCATGAAAAATTACTGGTAAATCTTTATAAAAAATAATTTATTAATGACTTTGTTAGTTAACTATGTCAGTTTCAAATTCTTGTAAGTGCTATAAGTTGCATTAATTTTCTATGCTTAAGTTTCCATTTTACATTTTCAGCAAATATTCATTAGTTAATAAAAAAATATGAAAGTAAAAATTATCCTTCTTTCCATCTTGTGCTCACAAATCTTTATGCAAATATCCTTTCACAATTATTAAAGCCTGAAAAATGCATGTCTGCACGATGATTTGTAGGTACTTTATACTTTACCATGATATTTTTTATCACAATGTTTTTAAACTGCGAAGTGTTTTAACTGCTTTATTTTTGCCGATGATATTTTGCACCACAATGTTTTCAGCGGACACCCCTTCATGTGCTTTTCAAGATTCACATAACCTAACCTAAATTATTTTTTTTTCCTTAGGCTTTTGTTTGGATAATATAAAATTGTGAATTAACAAAATCTCACTGTAATTAGATTATCATATTTATTTTATAGCTATTTTTCAAATAGAAATCTTTTAAATTCACTTATTTGTTATTTATTATCATTTCACAGAACCTGGTTATTATGAAAGTGGGCGATTTGGAATAAGAATTGAAAATTTAGTTCTAGTGAAAAAGGCTGATACTAAAGTATGTTTTAAACCTTTAAATTTATGTATTTTGCTATTTGTAATCTGATTAATATAATGTGAAAATAAAGCAGTTAAATTATTTTTTATAGTATAATTTTCAAGAATGTGGATTTCTTACCTTTGAACCCCTCACATTAATCCCATTTCAAACAAAGTTGTTGGATACTAGTTTATTAACAGTTGAAGAGGTAATAACTACTTTTTATAACCTTTTGAATTTAAATTATTATATTTCATGCAGGTAAAGAAATGAATTTTTCCTGTCTATGACTTAACTCATCAGTTAAGGGTAAATGCATGCTTAAATTAATCAACTGTTAGGTATCAAATTAATGACAAATTAACCAGTAGTATACAAATAAAATAGTAAAGTATTGTTAACATTTCATGAGCATGCTGTTATGAAAAATCGCATTAATAATTCATTTTTCAAACTTCATTTTTGTAGCACAGAAACATAGGCCATTACTCTCCTATTCCTACATTTTGACTTTTCCCAGTTCTTATAGATCAACAAATTTGTTGAATTAGTTGCAGCTGCATATAATGATGAACTACGTATTTGTAAATTTTACTATGTACAAGTCACCTTCTCCTATTACAGAAAGTTTTTCCTGAAATTGGGATTTCATGAACCAGCTGCTAGAACTACTGACTTACTGCCATAAAATTATGCATGTTTTTGGAATTTTACCATCAATATTTCTTCTTCTGAATATATAAATATATGAAGAAACATATTTTGATTCATTCATAGAAATAATATATGATTATTGTCCACATCAGTGTTCTTTTGATGCTTCAGGACATAATTTGTTAAGTCCTTCAAAAGATTAAAAATGCTTTGCAATTTGACCTTAGAATATAATAGGAAAGTATTAATAGAAATTTTAAAAATGAGAAATACCCCTGCATTATTGTAAGAAGTTCAAAATTCCTTGAAAAAAAATAACAAATGCATGGAGAAAAATATGAAAGAAAAAGGGGCAATCATTTTATTCCCCCCAAATACTTCTATTAAATTTGTTGTTTGCTATTTTTATTTTAAGAAGTTCAAAATTCCTTGAAAAAATATAAAAAATTAACAAATGCATGGAGAGAAATATGAAAGAAAAAATGCAATCATTTTATTTCCCCAAATACCTCTATTAAATTTCTTGTTTGCTATTTTTCTTATCTTTATTGCTTCATTGTTCTGTTTTAGTCCTGATATGAATGTGTTGATTCATAGTAAAAAATGTTAAAATGCTGTCTTCACTGAATTGCCTTATTTTATACATTTCTCATTAAGAGTATTAAGTTTTTATTCTGTATTTAGATTGCTTTTGATAAAATTGTGCTACTTTTAAAATATTTTATATATTTGTCATATTATTTAAAATTTTGCTACTTTTACAATATTTTATATGTCTGTCATTTTATTGCTGTACTTTATAAACTTTTCCTCCTATAGATGGATTGGTTAGACAATTATCATCAAATTTGCCGAGATGTTGTTGGTAAAGCCCTAAGGGAACAGGGCAGACTTAGTGCCTTCCAGTGGTTGATGAGGGAAACACAACCTCTAGGTTAATATCATACCTAAAATAATTAAATCAATCTGGTTTTGTGCCAAAGTTACACAAGGTGGTACCAGTGTTAAAGAGTGTTACTTTGTTTAAAAAAAAAATGGCAATAGATGTTAGGCTTAAAGCCAAACAGTTATTTTGTCAATAATGTCTATTAGTTTTTACTTCTTAAGGGAAGTAAAATAATGCAAGTATGCATTGCTGTATTTGTGATGTATATTTGATGTTTGACATAAGTTGTGATATACATATGAATAAATATATATATAATATATATATATACACACACACACATAATATTCTGCCAGTGGTTGTCTCACAGGTGTGTAATTTCTGTCTCTAAATTTTGCTGAAAAATTACTCATTAACGTTTAATTGTAGTGATTAAACACACATTTTCATGAAAGATTTTCGAGCCAAAATAATTCCATAATCATGTACAAGATATTTCAAATGATAATTTATGAATACTTGCATTAATCAGCAAATTTTCCAGTGAAATTTTAGATTTGAAAATTTTAATGAACAAGTATTCAGTGCAGTTTTTTTAAATAAATTTTTATAATGAACTTTTTTACCAGAGTTCATTAGTTGGCTTTGTTTAGCTTATTTTAAACAGCAATTACACATTGGTTTGTGGGAAAGGCTTAGGTCAAACCTAAACCAGTGCATTTGCAGTGTGATTATTGTGTAGGATGAATGTTTTAGAAAATAGGATAGTGCCGTCTTCCAGTGATTAGGTAAGTGATAAAATGTCTGTAGGGCCAATTCTGATAATGCAAAGCATATCATGGCAGACTTTAATATTAGCAATACACAAACCTCAAGAGATAGCTATGTCTGACATGTTGTCTTTTTAAGTGATAATTGTCTTGTATATGTCCTTATGCACACAGAAGCCTAGCTTTTACATTATTTCAGTCTACTACTGTGTTAGATAAAGTTCTTGGACTATTTTTATTTAGTAAATTCCAATGATGTAGATTATTGTTCAATTAACAGTTTTTTTCAGTGGATTATTTCATTGAAGAACTGTTTTGTTTTGAGCTTATTGTATATGCTAATAGGCTATGTATTATTACTCTGTTTAAACTGTAAAATTTGTATACTAGAAATATATGTTGGTAAGAAAAGAACTATTATGTTTACTGTGGTATATTATTGCAGGAAATCTACTGCATAAAAACTCATTATGTAATTTTATGTAGTCCAGAAATACAGATTTAATATTGTACTTCCGAGTTAAAGCATTTTTATTGCAGAAAATCATGTAAAACATGCACATAAATATGTTCTGGCTAGTCTCTTCATTACATCCAATTCTGTAAATTTACTCATTAAGTTCTGATATTTTAATACCATTTTCATATATAAATATATCTGTTATCTGTGTATGTTAACATAATTCATTGTAAAACATAGAAAGTTGTCAAAATTCTCTTTTATATGATGGGTGGAAGAATGTATAAAACTACTTTCTTTTTGTGGTCATGTTTTAATGTTATGGCTAGAAATGGAAGTCTTTAGTGATGCATATTTACATCATATTTATATGAGACACACTTTTGCCATAAAAATATTTTATGTAGTAATGCATCACATTGAAGGTTTCATTCTTTCTCATGTTACAATAGGGAAGGTATATTTCAGAAAGGAAGTATTATTTCAGAAACAATGAATGCATGCTCTACCTACATTATGAAGGAAGAGTATTAACAGTTCTTAAATATTTAGGTTATGTACATTCCTTTACCTGAAACAAATTACTGTTTTCCAAACACATCCCAAGCATTTGATGGGAAAAGAAATTAATATATTTACAAGTGAAAATGTTTTAATAGATTTTATTTATTTGTAAAAATAAATTTTAAATTTGTAAGCTTTTATCTGTTTAGTGTGCATATTTGAAACGAGGTATTTTATTGTAAAAATGTTTTGTTATTAAATTACTGCTAGAATATTGTTATGAAATAAGTGTAATTTTCAGAGCTGTCTGAGTTGTTGTCCTGCAGGAATTGTAAATAACATGATTGGATTTAGTTGTGAAGTATGCGTTTTTGTTTAATTTTACTTTTTGTGAAAGAAACATGGCATTGCTATGTTTAAAAAGCAATAATTGTATTGAATCATTTGTGCTGTTATAAGAAGCAGTTCTGTGTTGTTTTTAGGAATACTATACGTATGCATTTTAATAGCTGTAAAGATATCTGTGTTAATTCAACATCGTCGAGATGGCGATTGTAGGATTATCAGATTCCTTCAAATTATAGTTTTTATATGACTTTGTAATAATTGTTGTAACATATATGTAATCTTTGGGGTAATGTTTTTGAACTGTTATGAAAGCTGGAAGGAGTAGTAAAATTTTTCTAACTCTCGCAGTGGAAGATATATCCTTAATGCAGGCCTGGATATTCAGCACTGCCTTCCTGAAGTAAATAAAATATGCAATATAGTATTCAAGTGTGGCAATAAAAGTTTTTTAATATTACTTTAGAAGTAAGTTGGACATTCAAGTTTTATTTATCTTTTAAATACGAGGATTTGTATGTTTCATTAAGTTTATACTATAGCTTCTTTTCGTATTACATTACAGCATAAGCAATAAAGGTTTCTTTGTTTACTCTTCATTCTTATGTGTACTATTGAAATCGTAAAGATAGCTGTTGCTAATTTGTTTTATCGATAACATTTTGGAAATGCAAGTTAGAAACTCAGGCATATAATTTTAATAAAATACATGGATAAGTCCTTGTTCCATTCAAAATGTGTGTAGTACATGGAAAGATAGTTAAGCATAAGTAGTAAGTCATAAAGAAATCATAGACATGGGTCAGCTTTTGGCATATTTTACTATACCTAATAGCAGATTTCAAGCTTAAATAAAGAGCTATTGAAACAATTAAATCAAGCATTTTATACTGAAGTTTTATTAGGATTGAATTTATCAGTTTACGCCAAAGTATATTGAAAACTAAATGATAATTATTCTAAGCACACACACACATATATATATATGAACATTAGTGTGAAATTTTAATTTTTGTTTTATTTAAAAAAAATTTATTTTGTATTTTGCGTCAGTAGACAATAAAATGAAAAAGAAGAATGTATTAAAAATATCGCTCCATCATGGATTATAAAATAGAGAATGAAATTAGAGAAAATTAGAATGCATGTTAGCACATATATAATCAAATTTTCTGATAGAAAACACAAGGTTTTTAATTATCTAAGCCTTGGATAGCTTGCCTGAAAATAATAGAGGTATATATAAATACAGTAATATTTTAATTCTAAATATTGAAGGCACCATAGTAATGTAAACTGTTAAAAATAACAGAATTAAAATTTTTCTGGCATTAAATTCAGGGAAGAAAATCTCTTTCATAATAGCACATGATCTCTTTGCATCAGGTTAGAAATTCTTTTTACTAATTCTACAGCAGTATACCTTTTGGAAATAGATGAGATATAAATATTACTGTATAAAAATAATGTGAACATACCATAATCTGAACTCTCTGAATAGTGTTGAAAAGATAATTCTTTTTCTTAACTTGCATATTCTGAGCACACACACATATATATAGTATAATATGAACATTAGTGTGAAATTTTAATTTTTGTTTTATTTGAAAAAGAATTTATTTTTTGTTTTGCATCAGTAGACAATAAAGTGAGAAAGAAGAAGACGAAATGCTGTCATGATACATATTGCCTCTTCCTCCCTCTTTCTTTTTTAATTAAAATCAACAAATTTTGGTTTTGCAATCCATGCATTAATTAGCTTGGTTTTAAGGAAATATGCATTTAGACAGATACATAATCTATGCGTTGTTTAAGCCTTTAAATCTAAAAGCAGACATTAACAGTCTAATTTCAGATAATGATTGCTTTCCATAAAATACCACACCTTTGATGGTCTTTCATAAAAACCTAAAAATAAAGTGAATCAAGATAATTCATAAATGAAAGTTGATTGATAAAGAGTTAGTTTTTCAATTAATTAGCAAGTTAATCGTTTTTTAAATTTAATAACTCTTCTAATTGGTTAAGGCAAAGCATCCAGGTTTATCTGCTAAAAGAGGGATGCCTTCATGGAGGACTTTTGAAGGACAGCTGGCTAATTTACATAGTGAAAAAACACCCATGCAGCTATGAATTGAACCTCTCCTAAATTGTGTTGAGCAGGTGTATTTGCCTGACTGCTGGTGGGCTGTTGCTCGATTAACAGATGCAGAATTTCAGCATGGTGTGTATTTTAAAACCAGTAGAATTTATATATATTTGCATTTAATAATTTTGGTACGAGTTCTTAGAAAATGATTTCATACGTTCTCAAAACGTTCTTTGGCAGCGTTTAAAGATATGATTTATAATGTGTTCTATTTCATGACATTCAGGAGATAGTTAAGAATATATATATATATATATATATATTACTTTGGTATGAATTATAATTTTATATACCAATCCATTGTAGGCATTCATAAGCAGTTATAAACAACAGTTGCAGCTGCTATCATAACTATGAAACTACATGCAAGTGCACTGGTACTTAAGAAATAACCTTAATGTTCACATTAAAAATGTTACATTAATATTTTTATCCCTTTTAAATATTTTTGATGTAGAAACAAGTGTAATGTTATGAAATGTGATTTTATTATAGCTTAATTATGTACAGCAATTTGGCACATCTTCTTGGCGATGTGGCTCAGAAAGCTCTAAAAGATTAGATGCATATTTATTAGGTAGTCTTAATCTTCCAAAGATCAGATACTCCAACAGTATTGATTTCATTGTATTTATATTGTAATCTTTGGTGGAATACAGTATTTTTTTTTCTTCTTCTTCTTTTTTTTTTTTTTTTTTTTTTTTTTTTTTTTTTTTTGTCTATTTCAATATAACAGATTAGCAATACTCTTGGCCAAAATGTTCCTTAAGAGTAATTATTTATTTTTCATTAAAGTCTAATGCCATTTTAGATCACTAAAACGGTTTTGAAATCCTTAGAAAATTTCTTTAAAATGAAGTTTTTATTCTTAGATTTTGAATTGGATCAAATGCTTAGTTTTGTTGCAATATTTTTGCAACAAATTTCTATATTTCTTTTTTTTTTTTTTTTACATGCTTAAAAATCATTAATGCTGAGAACTTTTTCTGTTGCAAGAACTTTTTTTAAGTTGTTTGCAATAAATAAATAAAAATTTATGTACTGAATTTAGATTTTGTTTCAACAGTTAATGAATCTGAGTCTTTTAGTATCAGTAAGCTTCTGATGAAGGGGAACCTGTACCTAAAGTATTTTGAGCATTTAAAATCTCTTACAAAACCCCTACCAGTCATTCACAAAAACTTAGAAAAATGAAATACATTCAAATGCATAATAAATGACTGCATACATACAGCAATTATAAACACATTTCATCTATTTCTTTTGTTAAATTTGGAAATTGGCAGAATACATTTTAAATGTTACAAGATTATTTTTGAAATAACAATGTACATTTTTATATTATCTTTTAGAAATATTTAATTGATTGCATCTTCATTAAATTCAGGTAATTGTTTTTGTGTTACTTGTAGGTTGTTGAGGCAGTATGACTCTTATTTTTGTATAGTCTGACAGAAGAACGTGGGAGGGGGATGACTTCTTTTGATATAGGGGTGCTTTCATTCCATTTTATAATCCTTGCTGGACTAAAATTTTTTGTTTTTTCATATTATGATGCTTGCGCTACTATGCATGACTTTATATTTCTTGTTTTAATTTATTGAAATTTTATTTGTTTACATGTAATGTAAATAATTGTTTATTTATATGGCATTTATCTGTAAGAAATATTTTATGAGAAGCTGTTGACTGAAAAACAGCAAAGATCATTATTGGAGTATATAATTTCAAGTTATGAGAGAAAATGTTTATTATATGTCCTAGCAAGTTGTTTAACTGGGTTTGAAGTAATCTATGTTTTGCTTCACATTTATTACTTACGTATTTACTAAAGTATAAAACCTTATTTATTGAAAACTAAATAAACACTATTTTAGATCTTTGTCAATAAATATAATGTAAAATTTCAGTGTGTAAGTAAGAAACACTTTTCTAAAACTACAGTAATAATCTGTATTTGCAATTTAATTCTGCATGAAATCAGAATGCAACAGTAACACTGTGTGTTTAAAGTAATATTGTGCACAAGAATGAGAATATTCTGTGAAGTAACATTTAAAATTGGCGAGAACAGTTAATTGCAGTATTTTTAGAGCATTTATCCAGTTGTAAATTACTTTATAAGCTTGGCTGAATCTGCCATTACAATAATCAGTATTAAGTAGAATAAAAATTTAAACCAAGCTTAAAGAGGATTGATTGCTTGTATATTAACATCATGTTAATTTATTTTCAAATTTAAAAAGATGGATGGTAAAAATTTTCCGCAAGCTGCTAGAAGCTAATCTCTAAAAATCTATAAACCCTCTGGCTGCTCATCCCGTGATTTCCATGGGCAACTCAAATGTAGCCAAATCTGCTTATCTCGCGATTTCCGTGGGCATTTTTTCCCCCTTTATTGAGGAGCACATCCTGTTCTTTTCCTATTTAACCACTGAAATAAATTATATGCTGTATTAGACATTTAGTTTGCGCTTTGGCCAACAGATATCGTTAGTTGTCCACTAAATTACGGCATTTGAAGGTACATGGTATTACTGCTCACACTGCACTTTTTTCTTACAGAAATGGCTGCTAGAAAACATTTAGCAGTTATCTTGATTTATTGAATTTGGTGCAAAGACTGTGAAGTTGGACTTTGCCTTGAACCCTGTTTTGAAATCTATCATACTAAACTGCATTTCTAAGATATTTTCCCCTCAGTGTTTTATATTTTCTTAAATTTGATATATTTTACTTTTTTATATTATGCAATAAATAGAAATTAACTGTAATTCGACTGAAATTTATTAAAAAAATGGGGGGGGGTTGATAACATCTGAAATTGGTTTTTCTGGCAACTTAGTTTCTCATGATAAAAATCTGTATAAAAAAAATATTTTCTAGAAAGGAAAAATGCATTTTTCAATTCTCCAATATATATAGATTTAAAATATAGAAGAAGGGAAAAATAATACACAATTTTTGAAGCGATTTCAGTCCACAAATTGAGCAGTCAGAGGGTTAAAGCAAGACTCTTATTATTATTTGACTTAAAATATGTGTGTTGCAGAAAGTAGTTATACTGTGCTGTCATCGTTTTAAAATTCTCACTTTAGTACCACTTGGTAATAAATAGTTGCTGAGGCATTTTTACAAATGATAGCTTCTCTCATATAGTAGCATTTATTTTTAAGTCTGGTGTACATTTATCAAAAAAGTCACAGTTAAAGATCGTAAGATTGTTTTCATTTGAGTGAAATCAATAATTTTTAATATTTAAAAATAATAATAGTAGGTTGAGAAGAATAATAAATCATAATGATTTCACTTTGGGCTACTGATCTTTTCTGCTTCATGGGTGTGGAGCAGTATTGAAATATTTGCAACATGCCTAATACATATTGGCAACATATGGCATATTAACATTATTTCGTCCAATGTCCCATTTTGCCGTAAAAGAACTTTCCATGTTACTATATGATTAATTTTAAAAACCTTCAAAAAGCTTATTTAAATGACATTTTTTGTCAAAGACTAGTTTACTTTATCTCAGTATCTTGTTTAATTTTTTTTTTTTTTTTTTTTTTTTGAAGTTATATCATTTTAAAGATCAAATTAAAAATTTTCCTTTGCTGAATTTTTTAACTTGAATGCAATTTAACTTGGTAAATAATAATTAAGTTTTTTTAAGCGAGAATCAGTCCATTTGCAAATCAGTGCATCATTTTTCTTTATTTTGGTTGACAAAAACCATATAGTGCCTCTGGGCAGTTCCTTGTACTGCTGCCTTAGCTCTAAAAATATGTTTTAAGGTAATGAAACAGAAATAAATTACTTATGTAGCAGTATGATAGGTAATGTAATTGTCTGAGCAGGTTTACTTGGATGCTGTTAGTGCACTGCCCATCAGTGGCTGGGTGCTTAAGGCTGCTGAATACCAGTATATCCACCTGCTTTGTGTTCAAACTAAAACAAATGGGCTGGCTTCATGGTTAATTTCCCCCCATGTGAAACATGAATACAAGCCAGTTTTCCTCCAGAAAGTTCACCATGAAGGCAGATAGCCCTTTTGATTTTGCCATATTCAAATAACCTAACCTAGCTGTTAGTGCACTGCTGTATTTCCTTTTGAAGATGTTATATTCACTACATGAGAAATACTCAAAATGTCACAAAAGACCTCAAGAGGTATAAATATCTATTTCCAATATTAGGGAGTAGGTATAAATTCAGAGGACAGTTTGCCCACCGAGTTCTTTATATTAAACTGCAGAGGTTTTGGATACAGAGATATTCTGCATTAATACTCTTTATCCATTTTTGAGTGACATGCTGTTGATGCTAGGTTTGATGATGTAAATAACAATTAAGGTAATTATTGATTTATTGTCCATTACTTAAAATTATATGTGAAAAACGAATTTCTTTAAATGTGTTTAAAGTTGCCTACAGAGTGTAGTAAATTAATAATGAGATATTACAGCATTTGCTAAGGTAACAACAGACCTTGTCACATATTTTTTACCAACTCATGATCTTATAATAATACACATTTAATATCACAGTTTTGTAACTATACATGTTAATCTGTAATTTGATTTTTATACAGTAAAAATTTCAAATGTCTCAGCAACAGTAACTTATCTTTTATTCATCGAAAATAATATTTTTGCTGTCACTTAACATAATATTTTCACTGATGAAGAATTTTGATGTTCTTAGCTGATAATTATTTAATATACTTTATTACCTAAAATTTGCATTTGTAGTGTACAATATGGACATTATCTGACAAACTATAATAAATTGTCCTTTATAATTTGAATTTTGTAAAATTTTTTAATCTTAATTTATCAGCAAAGTTATTTGAATTTTGTAAAATTTTTTAATCTTAATTTATCAGCAAAGTTATTAAGTTTGTGAATGGATTAAGATTGAAGAAAGAAATGTGAATTTTATATCTTTTTTTGTTATTTCACTTATAATGATGTAGTCAGTTTTTCTATAATGAAAACTGTGCTTGTGCTGCAAAGAAGTAACTAAAATTTATTTTCATAAACTTTTGAATTGTTCTTTAAAAATCTGCACATGCATATAACATTTTATATAATTTTTAAAATTTGTTAAATGTGAAGGTTATTTAGTGAAAACTCGAAATGTAGTTTATACTATCAATTTATTTGGAACTGACATTCATTATAAAGCAATGTATGAAATAGTGGAATTATTGTACTAAAAAAGGATTCCAAATTTTATTTCTAGGCATTGTGTTACCTTATTATTAGAATCAACATTTCAACTTTCTTTCATGATGTTTAAATATTTCAAAGAACTCACACAAATTGCTAGCACGTAAGTTGTAAAACACATCAATGAATCAGCTGGAATATAAATATGTAAAGTCTATTTTCTGAAAGACAAATGTGCCTTGAAAACTGGGTTTTTAATCACAGTTTTTTTCATACAAAATTAGACTCTTTTTTAATTTTTAGGCTAAAATGAATATTTTATTTTATTGCATTAATGGCATCTCTCTTGATTTTCCTATACAGACAGTTAGACTTTTAACAACAGATACTAGTTCGCCATTTGAAAGGGGTAAAAAAATATTATATAAAGAGCTAAATATTTTAAATATATTAATGCATTATTCTACCTCATGAAATTTTAATATGTTAAAGCATAGAGGTTTCAGTTGAATAGTATTTTATTTTATCTAGCTTAGTGAAAGGAAAATTAATTTGTATTACAGAAACATCATAAAATTGAGTTCTCAAGTATTCAGACATTTTATGCATATCGATTTGAAGAAAATGATTCAACGTCAGTAACTGATGATTAAAAGCTTAATGTGCTGTTTTAATCCTGACAAACTAGACTATTTCTGATTTGTCATTGCTGAGTTCACATATCATTCATGCTCATGGATTTAGTTTATTCTTTGGGGGTATATAAAGAAGCACAAAATGCATTTTATTACAATGCATGTAACAGCAATAAATATTAATGGATAGAGTACAAATTTACATATATATTCTTCATCTGTAAAGCTTAGAGCTTAATTTATAGTTAAATGACAAAAATAACTTGCCATTTAAATAAGAATTAAGTTGTAATAAATATTCTTTGTACAGCTATTAGTCATATAATTGAAATTGCTATTTTTGAAAAACTTAAAATATTTTTAATTTAATATGAATAAATGCTTTAATTCAAGCATGATTTCTTTTGCATTTGAAAGCATTAAGCATTTATTGAAAAATTTCAAAAATGCAAATTAATAAAATATTTTTAGTAATTCAATTTATAATTAGTAGTAGTAAAATGTAATTGAACAGAATTTTTTTTTTCAAATGTAAATTTGCTACTTTGTGAATAAAAACATGTCATAAAATCATAGAAGAAATCATATTCTGATGTCCAACAACTTTGGTAGTTTTACTGAAATAAACAATTCCAATAAATTTAAGCCATTTAACATATGGGTAAAATAATTATCACAGCCAAAATGAAGCTTATAAATTGCCTTATTTACTCTTATCTCTGAAATATTTAGATAAAGTTAATAAAAACTTATATTTCATTTGGTGTGGGAGATACCAAATTCAGTAACATGTTTCCACAATAATTTTTATTTTATAGCCTTTCGGATGAAATAATAATATTCTTTGCATCATTGAAATAAACATAAGGTAGATATCTTATGACATTTCATGCAACTTCAAGGAACTTGCTTCAGAAATATAAATGTTATAACTTTAATAGCTTTTGTTTGATAGTTATTAGACAAATCATACTTTGATTTTTAAAGAAAATTCTCATTAGAAAACGTTTTGTGCCAAATGTATGTTGTTTTTCAGCAGGATTGTAGAGTAACTCTTTTTATAATATTCAAATACTAACATGTGATTTGTACTTATTAAAATGTTATTGCTATTTAACGATAAAGAAAAATTATTTTCTGACTTTCATTCATAATACTTTGGAAATATTTCTGTTATTTTCATGGAAGCATTCATATTTTTGTTTGTAACTGCTATGCAGATTGTGGTAAAACCACATATTTTATAGTTACAATTTAAAAATGTGTAACAAAGTTCAAGCAAACACTGTTCTCTCACTATTGTGAAAACAGTTATAAAAGCAATACGTTCATGTTTCTCTAAGAGAATGTAGCATATTTGTATATGCCATCAGTATTGTATTGTAGTTCCTGTGATTTTATGCATTTGTGTTGTAAGTGGTTTAACTGAAGGTACCACTGGAAGAAGCATTTATAAATTGTGGGTCCATTGTATTTTGTAGCAGTGTTTTATATGTGAAAAACATTGGAAATGACTTTTCTTAATCAAAACATGAGATTTCTCATGTTTAGTTGTGACCTCAAGAAAGTGGCTTGCAATTAATGGTTTTGTAGTACTGTTAAATTTTATATGTCTGCAAAGTTAATGTAAAAGTGTTGTTGAATAAAACTGTGTAGGACCTTAACGCTGATACTTTTCATGCATAAGTACATGTTTTTTTTATTAGAAAAATTACTTCAGTTTTTAATAATTGGAATATTGTTTAATTATTAAATAAATAGTACAATAACAAAATAGACTTTTACAGGACATTTAGGCACTCACAGCGGTGATATATTTAGGTCTAATGTAACTGCTTGCAGTTTCCCATCTTATAGGTATTCATTATATCAGCTATGAATTCAAATCTTTCCATTCTGTTCTTAAGACGCTGATGAGCATTCTAGAAGAAAAAGATTTAAAATATTCCTCACAAAACACAAATAAGATAAAGAAAGAAGTATTGATGAATGTTGTTGAAGTTACAAAACACATACCTGTAAAAATTCAACAGCAAAGTTTGAAATCTTGTGTGGCACATGCAAGACCCATATGTCAGGCAGGACTATGAAGGTATAACTGCATATAATAAGTAGATTTATTATTAATTTCATACATAAAAAATTGTTAGAAATTACTATATTAAGATTTAAATGAAACAAAGTTAAATCCACTTTTCAAGGTTACCTATTACTTTAAAGTAAAACTTGCATATGGACAAGGACTGCTTAAAGGCCCGTCCACATGACTACACTCGAAACATAGCTGACAAACGCACTTTTATGTTACCAGGGAAAAAGCGTCCAAACGAGTATGCTTGCGAAGAGTGCGTTTAACCAATAGAACTATTTTGTGCAAAAATCACATGACGCTGTAATGTAGAATCAACGGAGCTGTATTTTATTACTTCACTGTGTTTCTATATGTTTGTGGCAAGTTGTTAGAATCAGATGATTTTTCTATAGCTAACACTTTACTATTAAGTGTATAAGCAGATGCGAAAATGGGTCCGAAAGATTTATTTAGAGCCTGTGCAAAGAGATTTTTCTTCTTTATTGCCTCGTCTGCGAAATAAATATCCAGAATTATGGTTTGGAATACAGTATGTAAAGACAATTAAATTACTTAAAACACTATCCACCATATAATAAAATCAACTTCATATTTTTTAAACTCCCCCTTCCCTCAGTCTGCTTGTTTATGTGTGGTATGGCAGTACGTATAAAGGAATCTGTGTAATAAGTAAAGCGATCTATAATTTGATTATTTTCTATATATTATCACACAAATAAATTAGAAGAAAAGTTCATCCAATTAAATTTCTAAAGATATGCTGCTCTTTTAAATATTTTTAGCACAGTGTGATGTTAGCCCAAATGCTGTTGAATTGTGTATGTGCGTGTGAGTGGGGGGGGGGAAACTACTCATATGAGTGTAATATAAAATCTGAAAGCTTTCAGCTTTTTTTTTTTTTTTTCTTTATTTTTGAATTTAGAATAAGATTCAAACTTTGGACAGTTTGTGAGAAATTATGTGGAGGATGTAATATGCAATAAGGTAAAAATAAAGAGATAATTTATATAAGAGCTGCAGATATATCATTACATAAGGGTTTAATGGTTAAAAATTTGCAGTGCACATTTTTAAATTAAATTAAAAGCAATATTAATAATGGATAAAATAAGAAATGAAAACAATAATAATAATAGGTAAAATAAGAATATAATGATTCGCGATTAAATATAAAAACCACGTATCAAAATGAGAAAAGCTAACAGCATTATATTTTTATAAAGCTTTTTATTACACATGATATAGCGAATATTTATAATATAATAATTAAGGAGAATTTTGTAAGACAGAAATTTAATTTATTTAGGTTCGTATTATACTTATGATGTTATAAACAGGTGAATTATATGGATATACTGGTTGGATCATTGCTTTATAAAGATACAGTTTTTCTCCTTTAATGAGAATTTGAAATTTATACCAATATATATGGTTTGAGAAATCTGAGGATTGTCATGAACAATGCTGATTATTTTATTGCTGTATACAGTTATGATATTTTTAAGCAAAAACTCATCTCTGTGTTGTTCTGACGCCATATTGAAACGGGTAAGCAAGAAGCTTTTCAGATTATGACACGTGATAAGAACTCGGTCAGCTATTGGCTGTACGTTCACGTTACGGATGAAAAAGGCTGAACAGGAGTGAACCCAGTTTTACGTCTTCTGCGTAAGGCAAATTTACGCCGGCGCAAAAAAAATTGCGTCAACTACGTCGCTAGCGTACTCGTGTGGACGGGCCTTAATAGTTGATTTTTCTGCTTAAAAATTGATTTAATGAATCCTGATTAAAACATCTATATGAAAATTTTATTAACTGAATCTAATATTGTGAATCTAAGATACTATAGAATTATCCGAAACTTATTTCATTTAAATATTTAAGATTATTAAATAATATCTGGGGAAAGCAACAAAATGGTCTTTTCTAAAATAATGCACTGATGGATGGACAAAACTATGACCCACAGCAATCACAAATTGAAAGAAAGCAAAATGTGGAAAATCAGAATGTGAGTTACAGTAAGAAGAGGTAAACATGTGCAAATTTTCATTACCTCACTTGTTCATCACATTATAGTACTGATAAAGGATTTAAAGAATTTGACGCATGCGGGCAGTTGTTTTACCAAGAAAGATTTAATTGGTGATCTTGAAGGTTTTGATGTATCTTCAAACATCACTTGAATGATTTTACACATGATCGTATCACTGAAAAGTTCAAAGAAGTGTGAAAAATAACTGATATTACCAGGGTGTTTAGACTCACCTACAACATTATGTCATGGCTGTGGAAATGATTTAAAACAACTGGGATGTGAAGCATCATGAAGGTATATATTACATATATGATGTAACTGGTGTACCACAGCTCAGCAGGTGGCAAATGTGTGTGTGCTGTTTTGTGACAGCAGATGTGAAAAACTAGCCAGCTGTTTGGGAAAAGGAGTATTATACAACCACAGAGCTGTGTGTGTCCCATTGTCCAAACAGCACCTTACTTCCTCCCATTTGCAGTGATATCACAATTGAAGTAAACATAACTAAGATTGTATACTGTTCTCAGATGATTAGGTTGTCATCAGATTGTAGACACAAAGTAATCTGGCATGACAGTGTTACTGGTTGTTATTCAGAAAATATCCAGAAATAAACTAATATCCAAGATCCATATCATGATATGGGCAGGCAGCAAAATCAATGGCTGCATGGGGGGAGGCCTACTGGGACAATGGCAAACTATATGTATATGAAGTTTAACTGCCTTTTTCATGGTGCTTTTGGTGATAAACTTCTTTTCATGCCTCACCATGTCATTAAATACTCTCTGTTCAGGACTCTCGAGACAGTCAGAATATTCAGTACCTTGTATGGCCAGCATGTTATCTAGATCTAAATTCATTGAAAATGTTTGGGATACTCTGGAAAGGGGATTTGTTGATTGAAAATATCCTCCAAAAAAAACAAGAACACTCTCATTCCTACATTGACAGAGAGATGAGGTCAATTGCCTCAACAGCTGCAATGTTGTCCAAAGCATGACACAGCAAGAGAAGTTGCAATGCACTCCACAGTGGACTTGTTCCATACTGACACCTTTCTGAAAAAGTGTTTGCTGTCCTTCCTATGCATTTTTTCTGTACACAGCATCAAAAGAATACTTTTGGATGTTTGAAAACCTTCTGTGTTTTTCTAAACAATAAATGTCCTTTATTCTAACATTTGAACAGTGTGGTAACAGTATTTTATCCTGCTTAGCCCCCATCCTCACTTGATGTCATGCTACATTGCGATTTGAGATTCATCCTTAGCAGTTGCCCAACAGTGTATATTTAGTTTGTTATTACTTACAGGATGTAATGAACATCAAACTCTTCAATTCTTTCCCCCTAATAGGAGAAATTGACATGCAAAATGTTAACTTTTAAAAAGGATATGTTTAGTGTATTCTGAAACCTCAAAAGTAACAAACATCAAACGCAAAAATTTCCTTTTGGTATGTTTTTAAAAAATGTATATTTTGAAGGTTTTAAAATAATCAAATATTTTGGTTCACACTGATTTTGGCTTTCTAACTTCTGATACACTGATTTGACATTGCTTCTATTAAGATAATTTTGTCTTACTGTTCTAGTGTACATTTCATGGCTACCAAAATATTGAAAATTAGGTCATACTTAAAATTCAAATTTTCTGACTAAATAATTATGAATAAAAACTTATCTGCATAGGGAAGAACAGATATAGTAATGAAGGAGCTTCCAAAGAAGATGTCATAGATGCCCATATCCTTTCACACTGGCATGGAAATTCACAATTATAATTGGATATGACCAAATGCTTCCTATTAAACTATTAAGTAATTAACACTAATTGAAACTACAGAGTTTCTGCTTCATTGCTAAAATCTACTTATAGTTAGTTAAAAGGTCTAGTATTGATTTTTCCTTTCACCTGAATTTATTCATTACCTTTAGGATACAGAAAGGCCTAAGTTAGACTTTCTACATTTTGATGTTAGAAATGTGTATAGCGTAGTCTTTTCATTATTTGTCTTCATTACATTATACCACTAGGCCACTTATCATCCACTGTCTGACAAGCATCTTTTAAATTTAAACAATATATTATTTAACAGCTAATTCAAAACAACATACTTTTTTTTTTTTACTTTCTAAAATCTAATTTGTGTTATTATAGTTTATTTGAAACATCTATAAACATTTGTATGATTAATGTAATCAGCAAAAGATGGTTTTAATGCTATATTGCATAGCAATAACCTTTTCCTTTATCCCATTTATTATATTTATACCTACAGTTAAAAGATTATCAGTATAACATGTTATTCATCATCGTTTGGCTACTGGAATGAAGAATTATGTTAGTGTGCAAAATTTTAGCAACTTTTCTGATTTTGGCTGTTATTCTGCAAAAAATAAATTGAGAGACATGAAATTCATACTACGGTAGTACTTAAAGGATGAGAAAAGCATAGTAGCAAAAAAAATGAGTAGGGCAGATAAAGTACATAATGAAGAGAAAAAGGCTTTATTGACGGAATGGCATTGGTACAAAAAACTGTCTAGCCAAGAGGGAGAACAACAAACTGAAAAGCCTTATTAAGGCATATGACCTTTCCTACCAGCCATGGTTTCATTGCATCACCTGTTGATACTCAACACCAGGTTAGCTTACAGTTCTTGGGATAAGAATTTTTCAAGGAGCATCTGTTTCAGTTATATAATGTTCTCTGAAGGGTAAGGTCGTACCATCAGGCGTATCCCTACAGTAAAATGTAGAGCTCTGTTTTTGCCTGTCTGGTGATGTACCGGACGTTACTCATCATTGTTTACCTTGGTCGACAATTACCAACTTTTTTACAAGCTGTACCTATCGTTTCGGCTTTCCAAGCTTGTGAAACAACAGTTTTATGTTCCTAGTTTGGTTTATTAGATTACGGCAAAGCACTCGAGGGCTATCTGCCTTAAGGGAGGGATGCCTTCG